TGTGGCCAAGTTTGGTTCCAATTGGCCAAGTAGTTTCAGAAAAGATTTATGTAAAAGTTCACGAACAATGGAGGCCAAGTGATGAGAATAGCTAACTTGACCCTTTGGTCCAAGTGAGCTAAAAATTTAATTCATTTGATTAAAAGAAAATGTATAGTAAATGTTAATATAACAGTACCAAATTAATTAAAATCTACTAAATAGAGGCCCTTGACGTCTGTATCACTTACTAGAAAACAAGTATTCTTAGTGCCAGTAATAAATCTGAAACTAAACTTTATACATGTAGCATGTAGCATGTCAGTGTTCAGCTATTTTCTTACAAGTCTAAGATAAAACAAGTGATCACCTACATAGACAGAGCAAGCATTTGCTATGAATGCTTCAAATGTCACATAAGTATCAAATTCGGCCTTTTATGTCAATGCCAGGAAAATAACAATGACACCTGGAACCTGACATATGTTAAACTGTCACTAATACACAGTAGCAACCAACCAATTCATGAATCAGACTGATTTCAAAAAATAATGTCAGTAGTTCTTCCGTATAACTGAACTCAATTAGTTTTTGAGTAAAGAGTGTATCACTTTTAGTGAAATCTTCAAACTGATAATAACCTCAAGACATAAGCTTGGTCACAGAGGATATGATACGTTACAAGATTGAAAAGAAAGTTGACAATGGGAAAACTGAAGTCCTCACATTTGTGATCCATAGTTCTAGGTGTCTGTCAACATCAATCTTATCTAAATACTTAGCAGACAAGTCTGCCTGTGCAGTATCCCAAACATAAAGAAGAAACAGAAAAAAAGGACCAAAGAACCAAAGAACCAAAGAACATCATCAACATTTTCGAAAGTAAAGGCAAAGAAGTTTGCAAGATACCAAATAAGTTTAAACAGGTTTATTTGTATCAGAAAAAAATACAAATGTTTGGATGCAGCATGGTGCTATCACAGGTATGAGACGAGATTTTTTAAATAGATGTATATACATGTATACTAAATAGATAGTGTATTCAGTTTATATACATATATTTGAAAATATCTTGTCTTGAACCTATGGGTTTTATATAAGGTTTGCAGGGATCACCATAGGAAAATTCTCATTGGTGGAGCTTATCAATTGTTATTACAACCATTGAAAGATTATATTTTATTTTTTTCCAATACTCTTAGATATACACCTGGTATATACATATACCAGCTTATATATCGATCAGTGCTGGGTTTTTTTTGGGGGGGGAATGTATTTACACGCAGTTGTTGTAACATATTAACTGACGTCATTTTGGAATTTTAGAGTTGTGCCAGTTCATATCTCTAATTACTATTTTCATTTTAGGCATGTCTTTGAGTCGTTTTTTGGAAATTTTAAAAGTTTATTAGCGTCTCTACATATATGATGTTCGGGTGAAACTGTTTCACTTTTTTTATTGTATAGAATTCAAGATTGCTATAGTTTAATAATCAGAATAGATTGATCTGATTCATTTTACATCGTGCTCATACTGATGAAGGATATCTGTTATCCGAAATATTTAACGTTACATTTGTTCGTTTACTGTCATTTTTTTGGTGATGTTGTACCCTTTTAGACTGGTTATATATTATATTTTGTAGTGTACTGTATCATATTTATATGATCCATCGCCCCGTAAGATTTATCGTTGGCTATTATTCAGTCATTATATATAAATATATAGATGGATTAAGAATTATTTTTCAATCTTATCTCATATAATCTCAAAATTTGAGGTTTATGCTGAAAATATCAGGAAAGGTGCTGAAAATTCAGGCCAATGATGAGTGCTAAAAATTTAAGGTGGAGAGTACAACCCTTAAATAGCCTGAGTTTTACATGTTTTATTAACAATGGGCTATAATTGACACTTTTTATGGACACACCTGACCATGGAACAGTATCAGCTAAAATTCGGACTTTTATTCAGTTTATGAGTTAATCTTCCCAGTTTACACATCAATAACCTCTAGAAAAAATGTGTTTAATCCTTAAGCAAACTAACTCCTTAAAATGTATATGTACATGCATATTCCTAACGATTAAATGTCAATTCAATAGAAAGATATTCTGCTTTCGTTTGTACTAAAACTACAACGTTATTTTTCGTAATGGCAGATGAATACCATAGCTACAGTTGTCAAGTAAGTGGCAATAGCATCTATCACCATTTTGTTAAAACCTTGAGATCACCCAAAGTTTTTGGTGGGGTTCGTGTTGCTCAATCTTTAGTTTTCTATGTTTTGTTTTGTGTACTGTTGTTTGTCTATTGGTCTTTTTCTTTTTTAGCTATGGCGTTGTCAGTTTATTTTCGACTTATGAGTTTGAAAGTCCAATTGGTATCTTTCGCCTCTTTTTTGGGGAATCTCATACACACCAAAACGGAGCGAAACAAGGAATACTTAGACCAAAAGGTAATCTGTATTATGTATTAGCATTGTTTGAAATGGTGTAAAATGAAGATTCTTTTATTCGTTCCAAAAGACACTGCTTTCAGTAAATCTCAGAAGTTTAGTGGATTTAATTTGATTGTACGGTTCCTAGAGGACAACCATATCCCGAGGCTAGTACTGTATTTAGGTATTTGTAAAAGAGGGGCGAAAGACATCAAAGACACATTTCTGTAAACAGATTACTAAAATTTCCTTCCTTACTTAACTCCTCTATTGTTGAGAACGTATACCCATTTATATAATTTAGCCTTTTGCAAAGGTAAATATATGCTAAAAAGATGATTTGAATAAACAAATAGGGTAATTGTTAACTTGGTTTTAGTCAGAAAAATCTACCAAAACCGATGTGAATCCAAATCATGAATGAGATAATTCAAAGTTTCAAATTTTTAGTTGAAATGAATTATTTAGTCTTAATATTGTTACACTGGTCTAGCTTGCTTTTATAACCAGGTTTAAATTTATCAAATATGTGCTAAAGACATCAAAATAAAATTGAAGTTGCAAGTCCCCAATGAGCCATAACATGGTATCAAATGATTGAATGGATTGGGATTATCTGATAAATGGTTTGATATTATTAAATTAACTCTGGCACATCAGATGTACAAAAAGGGGGAATACAATAAATAAGACCTGCTAAAAAATGAAAATGTGTGTTGCATATCATAGAAGACAAAGGACGAGGATTGAGACTTAAAACACATTTGCGCATGAGACTGGTTTTTATGCATTGGGTTAAAATCAATAGCAATCGTTGACAGATTTTGACAGGGTTTTGGACAATTTTTCTGTTTCAAAACATCGTCGTTTCAAGTTTCACCCCTTTTCAATCCTATCAATTCTTTAACAACAAGTAACTATCATGAAGTGGTCAGCGAGCTCATATTTTAGACACACAAAATAATACACTTTTGCCTCTGAAAATGTATAAAATCTTTTATGATAGGAGTTATGGAAGCAAAATCACGAATCTCAAATTTGTGTCGAATGGGATTATCGTTATAGGATGCTTTTTAGATAATCATAGAAAATATAAAACAAATGTCATTTGATGGATTACTTTTAATTCTTCATCATATCGTTATTTCTTAGATATACATGAATGGATTACATGTAACCTTTATATGGTTTATGTCTATGGGGACATTTGAAATTAAAAGGATACAAATATTTGTACCAAAAGTCAAGTCTTGGTTGTTTAAAATTGATTTCATTAGTAACAACTGTTTTACCGTTGACATAATTCAGTTTGTTGATAGATTTTTTCTCCGAATTGTACTTCTTCAATCTCAAATCACAGGATTGCCAATTTCTAGAATTAATCAAAATTGAAGGATTATTATATATTTGCTATCAATATTTATTCATTTATTTGGAAGTATTTTGTCAGTAATATTTTTATGTCTTTTTCGTCAAAGTAAATTCATACATTGTTAAAATTTATTAAAGACGTCGGAACTTACAACATTTAGTAGTAAATTATTCGTGTATCAGACCTTTAACACATATATATACATAAAATGCATGTGTTAAGGGCAATGGAACATGAATAAAATTTTATAAGCTCCCGTTTACCAGAAAATATCAACTTTTACATTATGTTTCATCACTCATTCAAAGTGCATTGTATGTTTGTTTGATACGTGGTATGTCCGATACGTCAGTAAAATAAAACTGATGACAACAGTCCTGACCATCTCTAATGTAAGAATGGAACATTAACAGTCTAATGTGGGTCAATTACGCAGAACAACCTATTCGCTATTCTAAGGCTCCCGAAGTCATTACAGAAGCCAAATGGGGCTCGGATAGCTCAATTTAAATTTTTGTTATATAATGTGGATAGTTATCTGTGTTACTTAGTTTTTCATCTTACTGATATGACATTTTTCTATTGTGATGTTCCTGAATTAGCTAAAACTATAGCACAGATATACATTTGTACAAACATCATTTGCTATTTGTTTTGTTTCTTCTTTTTTTTTTCGTTGGCATCTTTTATTTGTTTTAGTTTGTTAATTATTTTATGTTCATTTACAATTTTTCCATCCAATGTTGGCCTGTATTTGTCGTTGTAGCAAATATGGTTACCCTCATAGTTACATATTATACAGTCTATAGTGGATTGCGGTCCATTGGATGCCATACAAATAGCTTATATCGATGTTTTCTAATTGCACTTGGAAATATGCCGAAAACATCCTTAATATTTTAAATGCTAGACCATTGTCTATCATACCCTTTTTTGACAAAATAGCTGATTAGTTGCATCGTTACTTTAGAAACCTCTGCATCACGTGCTGTATATGAGAACTTTGGGTGTCCTACTGTCGGTACACCGAATACATAAAATGTATCCCATCCATGTTGTACTCCTAATAACAAAATGATCAGAATTAAAATTTACACTCGATCTCACCAATTTTGCATGAGTTTTTTCCAAGTATCAATTAGAGCTAATATATGCATTACATATAATACAAAATTCAACAGTACTCATCATTTGATTTTATATGATCTTTATTGGTCAACTGAACTTTTTTTCAATTCTAAAAAAGAAAGGAACATCATTTTATTTAAGGTAACGCGGGACAACTTGTAAAAGGGGTATTTAATAATACTGACAGTTAACTTATTTATACTTATGCTAACTTTTAACCAGTAAGAAATACTATTACCTATCCAATCTGGTCCGGTAGCGTTTTGAGAAACATAATCAAAACTGAGTGTATACACGTTCTTTTGCCATGCAGATATCATGTCTGCGAGTTTCATCATTGGCGCGAAGATTCCTAAATCTGCCCTGACTTGTGAGGCCTGAAATAATAATGTGGTTACGGGTATTCTGTGTCTTGACTCACTAGCAACATGTTTGATTGTGATTTTTTTTGCTGGGTGTGGATTTTATAGGGGGTGATACATCCTGTCAATATATCCGGTCCTTTTGAAGTTCATGCCGGTTTTTTGTTTTTTACATTGCTTTACATCGTGTTAATGGACTCATGAGATTTGAACATCGGTATACTACTGTTGCCTTCTAATTTATTAACGAAACCAAATACATCAGTATTTATTATATCTCTTTATGTCGGTTCTTCGGGTTTCTCGTGTGCAAATGCGTAACACGCACTATTCATTTTTTTCCTGAATTGTTTTGACCCTGCTATATAAGGCTTGACTTTAGTCCTCGTTGAAGACCTTCCAGTAACAACTGACAAAATGAAAAACATCAAAAAAAATCCAGCTTTTCATTACACTTTTTTTCCCTGTTTTTGGCAATGGAAACTTCTCTCGTAATATAGAAATAAGAATCAAATTAGATTTATAGATTAGGTTTTGTGTAAATATACAAAAAAATGTCGTTATATTAGTAGTACGATTTTAATAACACCAGAAAAAGGACAGTTGTCAAGCAGTATAACTCCTACGCCGGTGGAGGGGGGGGGGGGGGGGGGGGAGGGAAGATGAAAACTATTCACATTAAGCGGTGAACCAGGTAAGGGATATTACTCTTTATAATCGCATGCGTTTGTTACAGTTAGAATAATCACTGGCTTTAATTCAGTTGTCTTTGTTTACTCTCTGTAATATTGCTTCTTTTTTTTTGTCTTAAATCAGGCGTTTGAATTGTTTTATATTTTGTAATGTCTGTGCGTTTTATAGCTGGCTTAACAGTATGGATTTTGCTAATTGTTGAGGTCCCTACGGGGACCCAAAGTTTTATACATCCACGTCATCTGGACTCTGGTGTATAGTTGTCTCAATGCAGAGTAAATAAATATGTGTTACTCAGAAGAGAGACGGAAGATACCAAAGTGATATTCAAATTCATAAATCGAAAACAAACTGACAATGCCATGGCAAAAAACGAATAAAACAAAAAGACAAACAACAATTTACACAACACAGCATAGAAAACTAAAGACTGAGCAACACGAACCCACCAAAAACTGGGGATGATCTTATGTAATCCGGAAGGGTAAGCAGAGCTTGCTCCACATATGGCACCTGTCGTGTTGCTCTTGTAGACTTATAAAATGGTTGGACCCAAACGTACCACTAAATTGTTAAGACTTTTGTCCCTTACTATAGACCTAACACCTTTAATATGGCAACGTCATTTTATCAGTCTTTACTTTTTCTATCTAGTGTTTTGTGAACTTGTTTGTTTTTCGTCGATTTTTTTTTTATTGCCATTGTTAGTTTTTTTCGATTTATGATATTTGAATGTTCCCTTCACATCTTCCGCCTCTTTTTGTTTGACTCATTTCATTACAGTGCTAAATTTTATTTATTAATCTTCATCAGGAACTATCATTTTAAAATATGTTCTATATGAATATATTTAAAAAATGATATGTGCGTGTTGTTATCAAAACAAACAAATCCTTCAACTTTTGTTGTCGTTACAATTTCCTTTCCCAGTGAAAGCAAGGACATTGCTTTGTTCTTCCAAGAAGTAAAATCTGCCTATTTCTATTTTGTCAACTTACTTGAGGATAATTTGATAGATTCAGTGTCTCCCAGATCTTTATTTCTTTTTTCAGGATATCTACAAAATAGATTTGATCCCAAATAGAATGTATCAAATAAAGCAGAAATTGTTTAAATTCATATATAAGTCGAATAAATTTAAACGGTTTTCGCTAGTCTTTTTATTGTGTTTATTCATTTATTCCCTTTATGTAATCATACATCATTTGTACATCTGTAGTTATCATGTTTTGCATTCCTTTGATTGGCCCCGAACATCACTGATGAGACATTAGTTGGTACCGATAATGTTATTCTATCGAATTCGACTTATAACCGGATTTCCATGTCATGAACAAGGCGATGGGTGTCACTAATGCAGTATGAAATGGTTTTAAAATTATCGTGTATCCTAAATGTGATTCAATTAATTTTCAATTACAAATTGTTTAATTGAATGTTGAAACCCGTATTTAATTTATTCTATTACATATTGCTCGGTTAAATTAGAAACGTATAGAATTGGTACACATTTATATGAAAAGTATCATGGTTGATGAACCTACACTACTCAACTTGACGTACAACTTATGTCATATCTATTTTCAATTAACCTACTTAATTATTCTTAAGTACCTGCAAAATCGGGTCTTTCTGCAAACAGATTAGTCGCATAATATTGGATTACTTGGTCTAAATCTCGTTCTCTGTATGCTAAAATATTTGGGAAAAATAATTCAAAGTTTGAATTCATTGATTTTTACAGTTTTCTTCAGATCTTGATTTATGCGAACAACTGTGTAACGCGCGTCTGGCGCAAATACAAAATTTCAATCCTGGTATCTATGATGAGTTTAGTAAAATATTTACAACCACTGGGTCGATGCCACTGCTGGTGGAGTTTTTATTCCCCGAGGGTATCACCATCCCAATAGTCAGCACTTCAGTGTTGACATGAATTATCATTGATATGATCATAATTATAAATTAGCTGTTTACAAAATTTTACATTTTTGGAATACTAAGGCTTTTCTACCTCAGGAATAGATTACCTTAGCTGTATTTGGCAAAACTTTTAGGAATTTTTGGTCCTCAATGCTCTTCAACTTCGTACTTAATTTGGCCTTTTAACTTTTTTTGATTCGAGCGTCACTGATGAGTCTTTTGTAGACGAAACGCGCGTCTTGCGCAAATACAAAATTTCAATCTTGGTATCTATGATGAGTTTATTTACATGGTTTTCTAAGCTGCTACTATGAATTGAAAGGCCGGAAAAACTGTTAGATGTATATTAAAAAAATATATACCAAAGGACAACCTTTGTCGGTTGTATGTTCAATGTTTGTATTACATATCATCTTTATATTTTAAAACCAATGACTCATACATTTGATATTGACCTACAACTGGAACATTAGCTGATTTCCCATCAAGAGAAAATGAATTCACCGGGCAGTTTTATTTTTTAGTTTTTCGTATATTGTTTGTGTTTCTTTTCATTTCTTTTCAATCTGTCATGAATTGGTATGCTTTATTTTGAGGCGAGAGAAGAGAGAAAATATAATTTTCTTTTTTCATCAGGCTATATCTGTTTCTTTATTATAAATATACAGTAAAACCTGTTTTAAGAGACCAATTAAGGAAGAGTAAAAAAGTGATCTACAAAGACATGTGGTCTTGGAATATAGGTTCAAAAAACATGTTTAACCCCGCCGCATTTTTGCGCCTGTCTCAAGTCAGGAGCCTCTGACCTTTGTTAGTCTTGTATGATTTTTAATTTTAGTTTCTTTTATATATTTCGGAGTATAGTGTGACGTCCATTATTACTGAACTAGTACATATTTTTGTTTAAGGGCCAGCTGAAGCACGCCTCCGGGTTCGGGATTTTCTCGCTGTATTGAAGACCCTTTGGTGGCCTTCGGCTGTTTTCTGCTCTTTGGCCGGGGTGTTGTCTCTTTGACACATTCCCCATTTCCATTCTCAATTTTATCAATCTATATAAAAAGCACCACAGAGGGACCGTATGTATGTATGGATGGATGGATGGATGTCGGTTTACTTGGTTCACTTGGTGGTTGATACCCTTGAGGACTGACAAACCAACTGTAAGATAATCAATAGAAAAGGGAAGATATCCATTTTGTTTTAAATTTTAGCATGTTTAACTTCTTTTGACACACTTTGCAATGGAACGTATATTGAAAAATTATATGTAGGCATTAAAGTGGGTTTTCTTTTAAATACATACTTGATATATCTAATGGGAATCCTTCATCCCGTGCCATCATTAATAGTACTGAACCAGCGTGGAATTTTCCACAAGTAAACAGTTTTTCTGGACTGCCTCTTAGAAATTCCCCATCAATTACAACCAAATTATTCTATTAAATTATAAAAAGTAAAAAAATAAACTTCGTAGTTTATTGATCTTAGACTAGGATTGTCTCCTCGTCATACCTTTTAAGGTCAAAAACGTCAAATACAGTTCTTGTATGATGTCAAAATAATATTATATATATGCCCAAATATTCCATTTTTAAATGAATATACTTTGTATTTCTTTACTGTAATTTAATATTTGATAAGTGAGTCCGTCTGGAAAATATTGTTTCTGACACTCAAGTATTGCGCTTCTCTATTTCTGCTTCACAGACTTATTGAAATAACTTTTAATTATCCCTTTGTCGTTAAAAGATCATTGCATCTGGTCTAGTAATATCTTTCACTGCTAATGGAATTGTTGGTCCCCGAGGACAATACTATCATCAGCTCACTAGTCAGTGCTTCTGTACTGACGTGTATTAAAACCTTCTTTTTCTTTAAAATTCTCCGATGATTAATGAAAAATTACTCCCTCGGACAAAGTTGAAAGATGAATTTGGCTGTTCTTTTTAGTTTCCTATTTGGTCATATATTCATCAAGTTTCTACGTGTTTATACATCCCTGGCTTTCAAATGTTTGGATTGAAGTGTTTCTAATGAAGGTTAATCCAGTAAATTAAAACAGATCAGTAATTTGACTTTAAATACAAGTACATGTATACAATTAATTGCTTCGATACAAAAAAAAGGATTAAAAGAGATGTGATTCTTGTGTATAATATCAATATTTTAGGCATATTTCAATTCAATTACGTTAGTCATTACAGTCATGAAGAGTGGTGGTATCTCACATAATTATGTATAGACGGGTATCTTTTAAGTTGCACAGTTTTAGATTTTTTTTCTTCTATCCATCCATAATTCAAAATAACAATATGAAGCGATAGATGACGTTAGATCTAAAAAAAATAATAATTTGAGCCTGAAAAATTATTCCTCGAATCGTTGACAGAAAATGACTAAGGTACAGATATACACTTCAAAATATGAAATCAATTCAAAACTAAAAGTAAGCCCTGACAGATATTTGGGTAGCACAAATGTCTAAAAGTGTGCAATGTCATTTGTTTAGTTTATTGATCGATCTAGATTGTTACAATGGTGCATCAGTAGGAAAGGTCTCCCTATCCAAAGAACTTGGTTTGGCATGATGACCTGCCAACAGGTTAGAAGCTGACCCAACTAAAAGACAGAAACTGTCCCCTCCCACCCTTTTCCAAAAAAAAATCCAGACCTGAATCTAATCGATACTTGTATAATAACTTTCTTTAACTGCTTCATGGTATCAAATTATCCCAAAATTAGTAAAAAAAATATACTAGTATGTACTGAACAATGGTTATTTATTGGTTTTGTAAATATCGAAATTCAAAATTCCTCGAAAGTTTACTAGAAAGATATATACATCTATAATGTGTTAATGTACATGCAACTAAATTGAAAATGAACAATATCTTTGTACTTTTAAAATAATTCAAAAGATAGTTTAGAAATATATGTTGTTAGTACTTTACAACGAACTTCAAAAGAGTATAATGACAAAGAAGTTAACAGAATCCTAACGCTTCATGTTGTCTCCTTTCTAAAATTATATTTAGATACCTTTAAATAGGAACTTCCTGACTAGTTCATAACTAACCTCTTGTCCCTCAGTGGTGATAAGACTGGTACCCGGTCTACAATTTGGAGGAATATTTGAAACTCTACTGGTTTGTATACATCTTGATAGAAAAAAGTGCGAAATTGGTGCGCCACTGTGGATTATTGCATTTCTAAATAACCCTGTTAGAGTGAATAGAAGCATATAGGAATAAACACTTATTAATGACAACATAAATTATCATAATTTTATATATTTCAATATCAGACTTCGTGTGGAAACATGGATATTGAGATAATTATGTTGTTTAAAAACGTCACAATGAAGGAATAAACTTAATTTCTGTGTCGTTTGGTCTCATTTGCAATCATACCACATCTTCTTATTTTTATATAGATGCATATACGTTATACCTAGTCTGTCGACAATGTAGGCACCAATTACATAAATAGGAGTGAAAATAATCAGAATGTTCTCAAATTAGAATGACGCCAAGTCTGTCGACAATTAGGACACCTTTAACACCAATAGGAGTCAACACAATCAGAAAGTACTCAAATTGGAATGGCGCCTAGTCTGTCGACAATTAGGACACCTTTTACACCAATAGGAGTAAATACAATCAGAATGTACTCAAATTGATACCACGCCTATTGTGTCGACAATGCAGGCACCGCCTACACTAATAGAAGTGAAATCATTTATAATGTTTTGCATTTAGAATTACGCTTAGTGTATCGAAATAGCATGCACCTCTTACTATGCACGCATTGGATAGTGATTGGTTTTTTTTCTCAGTTTCATTGTGCCCAGGGAATGAAACAGATTGATTGACTAAAGAATTTTCACAGATTGTATGTTAAATTATTTACCTTTTATGGTATATTGTTCTCATTATTTTCATACCTTTGCTCAAACCTGATAGTAAGTGAACACCAGCGTTCCCAGCTCCAGCACTATGTCCGTATATTGTAACTTTAGACGGGTCACCATTAAAATACTTGATATTTCTCTTTATCCATTTCATAGCCAATACTTGATCCATAAGACCATTGTTGCCCTTTATACCTTTACGTGGATCTGCATAAAACCCTGTTAATATTGTAAAAGTATGAACGTTATATATATCGATATACGACTCTGACTTTTTTAAACTGAGTTTTACTGTGCGTATTGCTGTGTGTGTTTTTTTTTTCTACTTTGGCTAGAGGTATAGGGGAGGGGGCGGGGGTTAGAGATCTCACAAAACATGTTTAACCCCGCCGCATTTTTGCGACCGTCCCAAGTCAGGAGCCTCTTGCCTTTGTTAGTCTTGTATGATTTTTAATTTTAGTTCATTTATAGGTTTTAGAGTTTAGTATGACGTCCATTATCACTGAGCTAGTACACATTTTTGTTTAGGGGCCAGCTGAAGCACGGCTCCGGATGCGGGATTTTCTCGCTGTGTTGAAGACCCATTGGTGGCCTTGGGCAGTTTTCTGCTCTTTAGTCGGGTTGTTGTCTCTTTGACACATTCCCATTTTCATTCTTAATTTTATTTTATACATCTACATATAATTTATAAGCATGTTTTGTATTAATTCAAATTGTTCTTTGTATTGTGATATAAAAGTTAAAAATTGAAATAAACACTTAAAACATTGCAAAGTCTTTCAGCCGAAAACCAGATTTTTTAAATAGATGTAGAGTGGGTGGCGCATATTCGCCTTGGACACATTTTCGCCGTTTTGCTATTTTTTCTGTAAAATTTGTGTGCCTTTACTCAATACTTGCCTAAATAGATGGTAAAGGCTGTTTGTAATGTTACAACTGTTGATATTCCTATTTACCCCATTTCCAAGGTTATTCGCACATATTGAGAAAACGCAGGTGTTTTTAAATGATTTTGGCAATTATGTAAGATTTATATGGCAATCATGCGCAGCCTTAAAGTAAATATTTGTGAGAAAAATCGTAAAGGATTGATCTCTCAAGCTAATTCATGTAATTACAAACATTTGTTTTTATAATATACCAGGATAATGAGGATGGTCATATCATACATTGCGGCGAAAATGTGCCCCCCATGGTACACGAACAACTTGATTTCCTCTTGAGTTTGCGTTCGTTTTTAGAACAATTAACCAATGTTTTGAAGATAATTTCTTTATCAAACATTTTTTTCATTTAGTTAAATTTCTGAAACCTTCATAAAAAGTTCCAAATATTCAAATGTAGGTCGGATGTAAGTGGAAATGAACGAATTATGCGACGAATATGGGTCTCTCACTCTATCTGAAAAGTTATGCTTTTTGTTTGCCATCGAAAAAAAATAGTTGTAACCAGCAAAAGAAGTATGAAATATACTAAAGAGAAATATTTTGATGATCAATACTTATATACATTTCGAAAATAAACTGGAATTTATATCGACGATAAAACCAAAGACACTCAGTAAAAAATAATGAAGAATGAGCAACCTAGGTTTAAATACGTAAATGATTTTCAACGGAGACGATAAGCAATATTGGGAAGGCAGGGATTGAAACTATGAACAATTAAAGTTGAAATTTCGAAGATTTTCCAGGAGATGAATATATCTTATCTGAAAGTGGCATGCCTTGCTGGCGAAAAGAAGCCGCCGATTAGTTTAAAGAGAACACTTGTGATGGTCAACAAACGCATGATGACGACTACATGTATATTACCTATTGTGATTTAGAAGAAGTATGACTTATAACATATGACAAGTAAAATCTATGAATCAGTTGTCGGATATTTTCGACTTAATGTTCTAAAGCAAATCGAATTTAAAAATGATGCAAACATTATCTAGAAGAGTTTGGGAAAGTTTTTTTTTGACAGTTAAATTTAGTATAGAACCCAATGGATTCCAGGGATCGAATACATGTATTAAATATAAATTTTGGCATTTCGGTTAAAACCATTTTTTTGGTTTTTAAATATTTTGTTCTCAAGCTCTTGTGCTCAATCTTACCTGATGGATTTGAATAATATAACATTTGATATCATAAATACTAGTCTTGAGCGCTAAAAAGGCTATTAAATCGTTTAAACCCGCTGCATTTGTTTGCACCTGTCCTAAGTCAGGAACCTGATGTTCAGTGGTTGTCGTTTGTTGATAAGTGTTTCTCGTTTCTCGTTTTTTATATAGATTAGACCGTTGGTTTTCTCGTTTGAATGGTTTTACACTAGTCATTTTTGGGCCCTATATAGCTTGCTGTTCGGTGTGAGCCAAGGCTCCGTGTTGAAGACCGTACTTTGACCTATAATGGTTTACTTTTACAAATTGTGACTTGGATGGAGAGTTGTCTCATTGGCACTCATACCACATCTTCTTATATCCATGTTTTAGATTGAAACATTTGTGCTGATCTATATATACATTATACCTAGATTGTCGATTCTAAAATTGAATGTGATGACAATTATTTCTCCATGTGCAGCTAAGATGTCACCATCAAACACAGCTCCCATTCCCACACTATTGGAACCTCCATGGATGAATAATAGAATCGGTAGTGTCCTTTTATTGACCTGTGATTACGCAAGAAATGATAAATTTTTTGAAAATACTCTTTACTTTCCAAAATGAATTGGTCGAAATTTAAATACGTCAGTAACTACAACTTAAATTGTATTTGTCTTTACATAAATATATAACATCCATTTGTGTTTGAATTCTATTTTTAAATAACATTATAATCGAGTGTTTTATCAGCCGTATTTTTTAAATTGTTATATTATTTAAGACTTAACTGTCAATTCCGAAAATAAAATATCAAGTCATAAATCTGCTTTACTTCATAAGATTAACTATTTAAGTTAAGAGATTCTGAAGCGCTTTTTGTTTTACAAAAGACCAAATTATAACATACTCTTGGTACATAGATGTTCATATATAGACAGTCCTCGTTAAAGTTGTCAAACCCTGGTCTATGAAATTGAACAAAGTTCTTTCTCTCCTGTGGACATGCTGGTGGAAGATTGGTTGTATCTAAAATGCGAGGATTCCATTTCATAGGCTTCTGTGGTCTCTACAAATAATGTAAGAATAATAATAACATATTTGTTTACTCTGATAACGACATGGGAAATTATCTAATCAAATGGTTATCTCAAAAAATCTTGCCAGACATAGTACTCTTTTCGAAAATAAAAAGTCGAATATTAGAATTATCGTAACTAATAATATTATATGGGAAAATAATTAATTTGACGTAATATTGTCTTTTCGATTTACCGCAATAAGTTATTATGGCAAAAGTTAATATTAATGCTACGGTTTTCTCTATTTCACAAGTGAAACATATACAACTCGTATATTTATTGTATTATGTTCAGATTTACACATTGGTCTTATTCAAATATAAAAACAGAATGATTCAGATTGATATGCTCATTTCAAGCACCATGTTTTATATGCCCCTATATCCTATACGATATTAACTACCATACCAGTATGTCATGCTGGTCCTATCGGCATTACGTAAAACTAATATAACATATTTGTTTATTGTTTATTGTTTTGCAGAGTGTGTTCTTGTTTAGTGCTGTTATACCACTGTCCCAGGTTAGGGGGAGGGTTAAACACCATCTGACTAGTTCAACCCAGCCACATTCTGTATGTGCCTGTCCCAAGTCAGGAGCCTGTAATTCAGTGGTTGTCGTTTGTTGCTGTGTAACATATTTGTTTTTCGTTAATTATTTTGTATATAAATTAGGCCGTTAGTTTTCTCGTTTGAATTGTTTTACATTATTCATTCCGGGGCCTTTTGCAGCTGACTATGCGGTACGGGCTTTGCTCATTGTTGAAGGCCGTACGGTGACCTATAGTTATTAATTTCTGTGTCATTTGGTCTCTTGTGGAGAGTTGTCTCACTGGCAATCATACCTTGTCTTCTTATTTCTATATGTGATGCAAAAGGCATATTTGAATTTTTCACTGATATTTTTGGAAATATTCCCAATTTGTTATGCCAAAACTAAAGTGCTGAACTCCTCATGTGATGATAACCGGTATAGAGGACTAACAGAACGTGACCAAAAAGGATAAAGACCAAGTGGTTAAATTTAAACATATCTTATACCAATTATCATGCCTGGGACTATCTGTTATAGTCGTTAGAAATGGTTTTTAGTAATAAAACTTGGTTCTTTTTAATGAGTGTTCATTTCTCAATTGGTTCGATATTTGTTGTTTTGATTGAATTCTCAGATTGCAATGAAATTAATATGTATCACTGCTAAAGGCAACCTTAGGAGGACGACTTATTTCATTTAAGTAGGTTTTAAGACCTTTGGGTTTTCTAGTGATCATTCTTTGAAACGGTATATTTTTTATATTTTTTTGTTTTTGATATCTGTTTTACCATTATTTTAAAAGAGTTATTAAACGTACTTTTAGCGAGTCGCAAATTTCATGTGACAGAAAGCCAAATCAAAGGAACGGGAATTTAAAGTTTAAAACGTATAGTGGAGTGACAAATCAAGAACAAGGTGCTTATTTTACGACTTTAATGGACCGGCATAACTGCAGGCTAAACATTATTTTTTTGCAAGGCCAATACCTTAATCTTATTTTTTGCCCGGTCGTAGCCATTTCCTACGGTGCAGTTTTTATAAAATGGAAAGAAAACGACATGTTGAAATTTTCATTCATGCGCAACTTGACAAGATATTTACTTTTCTTTCTTTTTTATAGTCCTCAAACTCTTGATTTGGCATTTTATGAAAGTTTAAGTGCTAATTCATATGATAAAACTATAATTCCTTCTATTTAGCCTTATTTTTTCGTTTTCACCCAGTTATAAAGATATGCACACTAACTTATTTCCCTGAGTGGTCACAACATTTGTAAATTTACAGTACATCGATATCTTCCAAATTTGTTGAGTGAAAAAGTAATAAAACTTCATTACGTAAAGTTATGAGACCACTCCGGCTCAGTTTTTCTAATAAATTCACGTTTTTCTACATAATTTTTATCGACATTATAAGTCAGTGAATTTCCGGATTTATTTCTTTTACCGATACGAAGAATATTTACTTTTTATTGACAAATCGCTTCAGCACTGCATCATTCTGTTGTTCGAGTTTGGGCCAATTAAATATGTAAATAGTTATCAAAGGTACCCGGATTATAGTTTAACACGCCAGACGCGCGTTTCGTCTACATAGACTCATCAGTGACGCTCAGATCAAAACATTTATAAAGCCAAACAAGTACAAAGTTGAAGAGCATTGACTATGTAAATATTGATATTGTTGTATCATAGGTTTATTGAACAAAGTTTTAAACAGTTTTTGACTGATTAATTCTTGTCAAAAAGATATTTTTTTCGTGTTTTTTTCCAAAGTTAAAAATAGATTTTTTCGAAGAGTAAAGTCAAATTGGAGCACATAAGAAGATGTCTACTTTTAGTAGTCTACTAATGCTGACATCTTTGCATGCTAAAAGAAGTCGTGCTTCAAAGAACTGGGAATTTTCAAATACATATCAGTTTAAAACAAGTAAAAAACTTTCCTGTCTAATTGCAAAAGGTACCCTTTATAATGCTGTGAATACAAGAAAAGAGGATGTGCTTCACCGGCTCAGGCCATGAAGTTAGTATAGTTCGACTGATGATGTTCATATATATAGGTATCATTATCACAAATATTGTAACAAATCATACACTAGTATGGTAAAAGTTTACACAGCCTGACATTTTAGATGATCATACAGATACTTTCCGTTCTGATGATCAACCATGTTGTTCATAGTCTGTAAAGACCAGATCAATGTCCACGCCTTTTGACTGGACTGCTAGTATTTTTTGCAAGCACAGATCGTAGAAACGCGACAAATTTCTACGATATGCTGAAATAGTCGAAGGACTCCAAAACATAATAGTAATATCGGATAAAAAATGACATTTAGAAATAAATTCACTCGTTTTTCACAAGAATTTAAAACAAAGGTCCTTTACTACAAGACTTGCATGGTTAATTTTTTCTTAGCATTCCAGTAAAAAAAAAGTTAAACGACGAGTTGAATGTTTAGCTAGAATGATTCTCATAGACTAATTGGTAACATGCATGAAGACTTGCTTGTTCACAAAAAGCCTATGTCATGTCTTTTCTTTTGGGAAAATACTGTTGCTTCTTAATACTTCACGAATTGAAAATAACGTTCGCTTCAGCCTAACTACAGTTTAGGTTAGAAAAACATTATGAAAAATTAATAATTGTACGAAAAAATAAACGACAGGAAGAATCAAATGTAAGGCTCAGTAGTTCAATCTTAAATTATGAAGCCATTCAAGCCATTAACCATTTAAAATCTGGATAAATACTGTCAGAAATTGAAACTGATATTGAGACAATAACTTTGAATGGAGACCAAATGTTACATGAAGCCACTTCAACATTTCCTAGTTAAATGCAGTTCTTACATATATCAAATGGGACTTACCCAACACCATCTGAAATATCTATTTCATATTCCCTACAACACTCTCCTTGCTTACTTACAACATTTTTGTTGTGGATAATTGATTTTTAAGCTTATAATGGTGATGGTAATGCTTCTGACCTTCTGACGACAAGATGTGAAAAATCTTGTGAATAGGAGATGTATAGTTACATTAAGCAACTAACTTTTTTACCCCATTTCATCCTGAATTGGAATTACAACTACACCATGAGTTTGGATAAAAAAAATATGATTGACAATCAAAATTTCCATGGCTTTTGAGAATCATACTTGGAAGTATGAAGATATAACACTAGCTTAGAATATTTGGATATAGGCATAATCCAAAGATACGAAGAAACAAGGTATGTGCAGCAAAATACAGAGCAAACATTTAATCAGCAATTGTATGATGTTGCCCAACAACAAAAGTGGTCTATGACAGACGTTTTATGCTCCCACATGAATAGAATATGCGGATTACATGGGCTTTCATCTTTTATATAGCAACATTTGGTAAGTTATAAACTTCCGCATGGCTATATGACTCATATTTTGACTCTGCAATTTATACTCGAAATACAGTAAACAGATTCATATTTGTGAATAGTTTGATCGTGGTATTCCCGAATTAACACTGTTCTATGAGGTCCAAATGGTTACTTTATATGAAGCATATTTCAATTGATTCAGAGATATAAACTGTATAAAAAAAGTATTGCACCAAACATATGGAAGGCGTTCAGTGACTGTCATGGCTCATTTTTTTTTATCTCATCCAAAAGCACTGAAAGCATTGAAGATCTCTTTACTGTTTTTAAAGACAACATATTTGTTTGAAGAATTGAGAACACAAACCAGTTTTGTGTGAAGGGCCTTTGTCATCAGATATCCTTCAACAAATTATTTTAACATGCAAAGGTAAAGAGCTTGAAATAACAGTTGAGTATGCTACACACAGAATTTAGCTTGTACAAGTATTTCATTGTGTGGAGGGTCTGTGGGATGTAGGAATCATCTGACTCAACAAGCAATTTCTGAAGAAAAAGACAATGAAAACGATGTCTGATGAAAATATGTAAAGCCAGAAATATTGGGAAAATCATTTCTTATAAATACATTACAGTAAAACTCATGGACGGTGGATACAGCTTTGACTATGCGGAATGTTTAAACCCACTGATAAACAATGAGAAGCCCAGAGTTCTGAAAATGTTGTGCAAATTGCATGTTAACGGACCCTTACAGCAACTCTTTCTGGGGGGTCCATAATAGGCTGCTGATGTCATAATTCCTGCCCATACAATCGAATTAGTCATAACAAAAATATACGCTAACCTAGCAGTACTTCAGTTAAACAATTTTAACCAGTTACCTAGTGAAATATTATATATATATCTTCAAATTAAAAAAAAAATGCACCATTTTTCGATTCTACGACCAGGCAAAACTTAAAGTTTAAACATTTCTCTACACGAAAAATCATAATTTAGCCTGCAGGTAGGGTGGTCCATTAAAGTTAAAAATTTGTTGGCTTGGTCACTCCACTATTACCTGTAAAAGTTCGAAGATGCAACTGACCGTTTCATTTTACCTTGTAAAATATATATTTTGCATTTTGAAAAATTGTGCCGATCTATGCGATTCTTTTTTTGAACAGTATATATAATTTTCAGTACTAAATGTTCAAATTTTCTTCCATAGCCATCTGCTCAATTAGCTTTATTTCTTATTAGATGAGTTTTCAATTCTTCGCGGCGCTCGATTCAATTATCTGTAAGAGTAATTTAATTTCATTATAAAAAATGTTCGATAACAAAATTCCGCAATTGTAGCGATTCAATCTGAAAGTGAATAAAATAATTGTTTGCTCTTTTGTAGTTTTTGTGTGTCAAACGACTTAATTGCACAACGTTGTGTGATTTATATTCCATTCCCTACTTATGTTGTTTTGCGAACGGAACCCATATATTAAAAGATGTGTCATCGTAAAGTTATTTCTTTAATTCTTAAAAACAAAAAGGAGATTTGGTATTATTGCAAATGAGACAACAATACAACAGAGTCCAAATGACGTGAATTAAACTTTTTATATTTTCTCCTGGCTATTTATTCTTGTTAGAAAATCAGGTTATATTTATTTTGTGCTCAGATCGCCACTGGTCAGGATTACTGGTGATACTGACATTTTAATAATTAAATATTCTCCTACCTTGTAGCGTAGATTACCCGTCGGTGAAGATGCATATGGAACACCAAGATATTCCTCCACTTCTACTTGCGGGACGCGAAAAGTAACTTTTCCGCGGACTTTTCCATAAAGTGTTTTTCTGATAGGAAAACACTTGAACGTACTCAAAACAAAAGTCAACACGATTAAAATCTTAGACATTTTGTTCATTAGTGATTTGTCTTTGTTACTTCCTGATAAATGACTAATAAAAGTAACAGTTATTTTCAGTACATATGCAGTTTTTAAATCTCAATATAACGTAATGTTTGATGTTATTGTAACACGTGTAAAATTACAAGGGATTTTTTTTTTGCAACAGGTTTTGACAATGACGAGTAGAATAAGAAAATATTTTGAAGAAGTTATATCCTTACGTAGATTAAAATGGTGTATTCTTTTCTTGGATCTTAAAGCTAAAACTAATATCAGGAAGCTAAAAACCCAAACTGGAAAAGATGAGTGAAGAATCAATGCTATACATGACGAGCACCCTTGATTTCCCCATTAATTTAAAGATGATGTTATTATAATTGATTATACAAGATGGAAGAGTGCATCATAAGATGTAGAAAGCACTTTAGCGTAAAGTGTTATACGAGAATATGACTGAGAACAAATTGAATGGGTTCTATTCCGTAAACTCTCGAAGATGTCGAAACAACAGGCAGTGGCCTATAACTAGTCAAAGACCTACAGATCTCAAACTCGCTGGTAGAACTAAATTAAAGACTGGTAAAGCAATCACAACATCGACTTTCAGTATGAAAGTTATCAAATTTTAGCTAATACAGGGTGTTGTCGAGTTGAAAGACTAACTCGGACGGAAGTTTAAAATTTTAGACGGCAAATTATAAAGGAAGATAATGTCTACAGATTGGCAAAATTTAAGATTATACATGTAGAAAAGTAAATTGTGAAAAATTTACAAAACACACAACTTGCACTTTAAGAGTAACATTGATGGGTTAAGTTTAGGAAAACAGGTGAGGCGCTATTAAGATACTTTATTTCAATGGATCAAAGCTATTCGGTAATGGAGCGCATTACAAAGTATGATTTTCTGTAAGGACATGAGTTTCTTACCCTTTGAAAATGTTTTACTGCTAAGTCATTCCTTCGAAAATTTTACGAATGACGATGGATATGTTCCAATTGTGATACTAGTAACCACAATCCCGTCCTTTTTTCCTAGAATGTGACATCATCGAATACGATTTATCGCCAACTTTGTACTTAAAAAAAACAGTAAGAAAAGTGTCACATGTGGAGCAGGATCTGATTATCCTTCCGAAGTACCCGAGATTATTCCCTGTTTTTGATGGTGTTCGTGTTAATCAGTTCAGCTGATGAGTTTTGATTCACATTTTTGGTATCTTCCACTTTTTTTTAAATAAACGCCAAAATATACCAACTCAGGCAATGTTGACTTAAGATGATTTTGGCTATTTATAGATCTTTTGTTTTGTTATATAATTCGATTTTTTGCCATGGCGTTGTCAGTTTGTCTTCGACTTATGAGTTTGAATATTCTGTTGGTATCTTCCGCCTTTTGAAAAAAAAACCTGATGTCTTGCGATTTATCCTCTCTTCACGACAAAAATACTGTTGTTGTTCAAGCAAACATGCCTTAAACTGTATTGTTCTGTATGCAAAATTTTTACTTAATTGCCTAACAAAACATCTTTGACCCCTATCTTAGATTTTTACCTTTATCATAAACGAAAAGGGATTTTAGTAAATCCAAAAATCAATTCTTCTCTCCTTAGGTATTAACATAGAAAAAGACGACGCAAGAATTAATCTTCTCCCAGTTGATGCGATATTCCAGAGCTTGTATTTTCTATCATGATTTCCTTAATAGAGGGTTGCTGCTCACAAGAATAAAATTGAGAATGGAAATGGGGAATATGTCAAAGAGACACAACCCGACCAAAGAGCAGACAACAGCCGAAGTCCACCAATGGGTCTTCAATGCAGCCGGAGGCGGTCCTCAGCTGTCCCCTAAATAAAATTGTGTGCTAGAAAGCTATTAAACCAAGAATTCCAAGTGGTGAAATTGAAATCATCCCTTCATAAATTTCACGGACGCCATCACGAGTTGGTTGACGTTACGAAATATCCGTTTCACAGATGACAGCGGATATGTTTCAATTGTCGTAACTACAATTCCGTTCCCTTTTACCCCGAATGTGACGTACTGAATCAGTCTTATTATCGGCTTTAGGCTAACATGAGCAACACGACGGATACCACATGTGGAGCAGGATCTGCTTACCCTTCCGCAGCACCTGTGATCACCCCCAGTTTTTGGTGGGGTTCGTGTTACTCAGTCTTTAGTTTTCTATGTTCTGTTTTGTGTACTGTTGCTTGTCTGTTTGTTTTTCTCTTTTTAGCCATTGTGTTGTCAGTTTATTTTTACTTTAGAATAGGGAATCCAACCTTTCAAAAAGATCTGATGAAAATTATATCTAACAGACAGGCTATATATAATTTCTTTAATTATATATTACGCATATCGTATCACGAGTTGGTTGACCGTTATGGAATAACCGTTTCACAGATGATATCGGATATGTTCCTTATGTCGTAACTACAATACCCTTCCCTTTTTACGAATGTGACCTACCGAATTAGACTATTTACCGGATCTGTAATAACATAAGCAACACGACGGGTGCCACATGTGAAACAGGATCTGCTTACCCTTCCGGAGCACCTGAGATCACCCCCAGTTTTTGGTGGGGTTCCTGTTGCTTAGTCTTTAGTTTTTTATGTTCTGTCATCTGTACTATTAAATTATTTGTCTGTTTGTCTTTTTATATTTGGCCATGGCGTTGTCAGTTTGTTTTCGATCTATGAGTTTGACTGTCCCTCTGGTATCTTTCGTCCCTCTTGTATATTCACCGGTGGCGCTCGAATCAAAAAAGTTTGAATGTTAAGTCAAATAAGAAATTGAAGAGTATTAAAAACAAAAATTCCGAAAAATTGTGCCAATACGGCATAGGCAATCTATGCGTTGTGGTAGAAAAACCTTAATGTTTTGAAAATTTGGCAGCATTTTCTAAGCATGCGTTTATGTATCTCAATTGATATGTTACACACGTAGATGTTCACATTATACGGACTGCATTGATAGGGATGTTGCTCTTGCACAGTAACTGCTTCAGTAGGGTTATGAGGACAAACGACTTAATCGAAACATAAAAAGTCTTATGATCATCATCACTAATTAGAACGATACCATGTGCCTGTGTTTCAGCTTGTGAGAGATGCGTTTCGCGGAGGTATCAGAATAATCGACTTTTCTGTATTTTACTGTTTGTGTCCTGTTCCTTATCGGGAAAGTTTGACTGAGGCTGTATTTGCATGGTGGGGATAAATGCAAAGTATGAGCTGTTTAGCATTTCTACGCCTACAGTCTCGATCATTTTGGAGTTTATGCGACTCTCCGTTTTTGTGAACATTGATTGAATTGAACTTGGGAGAACCTATTTATAATGACTGTAAATATGTACTAACAACAGCATATTTGATATTTTATTATTGCAATAATCGTGAAACCTTATATTGGATTTCTTTAACCGTGATAAAATCTATAAACGTGTTTAGACATGGTGCATTTAACTTAGTAGAAATGCATGTCAAACACGGGAATTTAACTTTGATATGTTATCCGAAAATAAAACTTCTTTGTTTTTTTTCTTGTATACATGATAGTTTTATGCATAGAAACATACAAAAATCAATTAAACTTTTAAGTAATATGAACTTGGTGTTGTCTTTAAGCTAGTTCAGTCATTGATATGCATTTTCTAGATCACTCTCGCCTATGCAGGAAGAATATTTGGATTAAGATCGCTTTTCCAAACATCCAATATCTATATAAAAAAAAAAACAATGAAGCATGGATTGCTGTATTTAACGTCCTACACAGGAACTTAACCCTTTAATCTTCAGACGCAAAAGTGTTGTTTTGCATTAAAAACATATATGCATTACAAAACTACAAAAATTTAGCCTTGCGATTTTATTATGGTGGAGCTAAACAAACAAAAAAGTTTTGTAATATACATTTGGCCTTTTGGTGATTTTATGTCAATTGCACACATCTCGCCTGATCCCTTTATTTAGCAAACCGACAAGGTTGCAAGGGAAAAAATAACGGTTTTGCTGCTGTCAACTTTGAAAAAAATATCAGACACGTCTATAAAATGCAAAACATGTACATATTGCATTAAAAAGCACGTTAATATCTCTATACACCAATTTCAAGGTAAGTATAGTGTACGGTTAGATCGTGTTTTTTTTCGAATGAATCGGTCCACTTTTTTCGAGTGTACACCAGGTTTTTTCGAGTGATATCACATGCCATCAGATCGATTGCGCAAGTATGATAGCTTTTATCATGCCTAATTATCTTATTTTGAATACTATACACGACGCACAATTTTCTTGTATTTCATTTACAATTCGGTGTTTAATTAACATTTTTAGAGCAACACTTTTTATGGGTTTTTTAACAAATGGTCCAGGTATTTTTTTTTCTTCATGAGAATGTGAATAGGAAAGACGCTACGGTATTCATGGCCTTAAAAACGACTTATTCTAGTTTAAAAATGAAATTTTTAAGGACAATATTATATATTCCCAATAAGTTTCAAAACGTTTTGCTTTGTTAATCAAATTTAACCCTTTTTAATTTTAATGCTAATTTTTTGGGAAAGTTATTTACCATAACTTTGCAGTATAAGGATATATCAGAAACCAGTGGATCCTTTATAAAACCGAGAGCAGGAACTCATAATCTTCTCAATTTCATTTTATGATACTGTTTGTTTTAACAGTCAATAATATTTTATGATTGATATATTTTACAGTGGCGAACCACGGAGTTTTAAAAATAGGGGTAAGAAAACTAATGACAGCAGTAAATAATCAGAAAAAATACAAGGTAAACACAAATAATCTACTAAAAGCTAGAGGCTCGTCCATATAAGCTATAAGTCGATGCAAGCTATTTTATGTGGAATATGTTTTTCTTCGTCATTCCTGTGGTATTGTCGTATGGACTCGTGTCCCTTGTGAACCATGATGTTTATTGGAGCGATTTTGCGTTTTCTTGTAGCTTTTACTGTCTTATCGAAACTGAAATGATTGCTGAAATAGAAATTATTTTTTTTAGTTAGTGTGTCAT